GCTGGGAGGCCTGAGGTCTCTCCTCAGACCTCATATCCCACAGGCAAGGGGAAGTGGGTTGCATAAATACAATGGTTGAAGAGCACAAGGCCAGAATTAATCAAACACAGCTGGGGTGAGATTGCCTGAAATCTGACTGGGACCCTGGAAGTGAAAGCTGGGACCACTGAAAGCTTAATTTAAGTATTTGGGACTCAAGTTGAGAATGCAAGGGGCCAAGATTACTGGATCCCAGGACAGGCAGTTTGGCAGTGAGAACAAAGGGCAGAGCCTGGGACCAAAGTGCCTGGATCCCTTGAGAGAGAGGAGGGTGGGTACTGAGAGAAGTGAGGGCTGAGGGAACCCCGGAAAAGCTGGGTTCTGGAAATAGCAGCAAGTCAGTATTCCAGGATCTCTGCCCACTTCCACTTCCTTTTCTCTCTATCTGGCAGAGAAGAGGGAAGGAGAGGGCCGGCGAAGGGATGAAACCATGGGTTTAGTCCCCAAGTAGCCACGTGGATACATTCAGGGCCAGACACACACAGGAATGGTGGGGAGAGAGGAATTTAGTGCTGCATTGGCCCTGGAGGGGGTTGGGAGGGATCGGGAGGCTGGGGAGGGGTGCTGGGAGTCGGTCCCAGGGTTCCATGACGTCGTCCTCTGCGGTGGCCCCGTACACAGTGTGTATGACCACAGCCCTCCTCTTCCTCCTCTTCACTCTCCCTGGAGTTCTCGCCAAACGCCCGAGGTTTCTCATAAACACAGCAGCATTTTGATGAGCGGCGCGCCATATGTTCATTGTCCACAGTATCACTTGTCCATTCCACCTTTTTCTCTGGCTTCCGTTTCCGAAGTTTGATGGTTAGACTCCGATTCTCGGGCTCGGTTGTCACGGTAACCGTTGTCTCAGTGACGGTCTCACTCAGCCCGGCCCCTGCCTCCGCCATGGCTATGGCTGAGGGGAGGAGGAGGGAAGGGAACAGGGACACCTTTCCCCTTTTCTGGGTCTCTGGGATCTAAGAGAATCGGTATCCAATGCAGAGGAGTGTTAGCCGGGAGCCTCCGCCTTTTTCCCCCTCCTCCTGGGCCTCCGCGTCCCCACCCCTGGGGAGTTGTTCTCATTATTTTAAATAAGATTTGATTCATATATTTCATGTAAAAATTCATGAGACACAGTGATTTACCATCTGATGGCTAACTCCTTCAATTCCTGCAAGATTGTGACAAGGCCTGGGTAAAACAGGAGCCAGGAAGTAAATGTGTGTCCATGACAGCAGTTGCAAAGACTTGCATACTTGAGAAATTCCCTGCTTGCTGCCAGGGTGTGCGTTAGCAGCAAGATGGAATTCGGTGTTTAGCTTTATTTTATTTTTTGTTATATTTTTGACATTCTTTACATAGCTAGTTAGAATAAAAAGGTTGAAGGGCCATAGAAAAACAGGTAAGACTATTATTTCCATATTGTTTCTTTCAAGTTTAAAAGGTGGGTATTAAAGGAGAAGGCCCACCCAATTTCCCACCCTCCGCAGGTCCTGGATGTGGGACATGCTCCGAGATTCTTGCTGAAGTGGTTTTGATGGTTCACTAGTTATAAACAGGATTGGCAGGATTGGCAAGATTGGCAGCGTTTCACAACTGGTGCTTAGCTTTCATCGAAACACAGGAAGTCCAGCGTAGGGTGAGGGTCTCCTCGCAGTTTCTCCACCCTTCACCCACAGACCCACATCTCCTCGTTTTAACTGAGCACTTATAGGATAGTTTTTTTTTGTCTTTTCTTAAGATATCAAGGATATGTGTCTCCTATATTTTTGTTTGTATCATTTTCTTAGAGTATGCCTTGTGCTTTTGCATATAATCTAAACCCAATTTTAATTTGTACTGTACTATTTCTTGAGAAGTTAAGGTGTGTTATAGTCCCAAGTATTTTAACATTTTCTGTGTGTAATTACTGTCATACGTATTAAAAACTAACAATTTTTTCAGTGTTGGCACTGTCATTTTGAATAAAGATTTATAGATTAAATGGTAGGGAAATTGTAAGAGTGAATATTTGTACGATTGTTTGGTGTTAAACCCTTTTTTCAATGACCCACCCTCCAAAATCACATTGTACTTTCTGATTAATTTCTCCATTTGTTTAGGAGGATGTGAGAGGAATCAGAATTTGAATTCACTGATTTATTTCTGAGACGCCCACAGCTGCACAGTATCAATGAGGGCTAAGCTGGGAGCTGAGAACTGAATGCAGGATTTTTCCTGTGGGTAGCAGAACCCCAGTGCCTTAAGCCATCACCGCTGCTTCCCAAGGTCTGCATTAACACAGAGCTGGAGTCAAGGTCAGAAGTAGGAATGGAACCCTCGGACTGCAGTGTAAGGTAGAAGTTCCTTACCTGCTAGGCTGAACACTCATCATGTATGGGGCTTTTTGTTTGTTTGTGTTTGTCATATTTTTTAGTTATTAGTGTCCACTGGGGTACATTGATCCAATTTTGAATATGTTGTCTGTGAGTTGACAGTAGAATTAAAATGAATCAAACATTGTGAGGAGAATATTTTGTTTGAGGTGGAACGAATGCATCTTATTTCAATGCACTTAATTCAAGCTGGACGCTCCACTCTGTCTTATTTTTAAGATTTATTTGTTTCCATTTGAAGGTGAGAGACACAGACAGGAGGAGGAGAGACAGAGAGATCATCTGTCTGCTCAGTCCCTTCCCAGGTGGCCACCATGGTTGATGCAGCTGATCCAAAACCAGGAGCCAGGAATTTCTTCCGAGTCTCCCAAGCGAGTGCAGGGTCCCAAGGCCTTGCGTCGTCCTGGACTGCCCTCCCAGGCCAGAAGCAGGGAGCTGGATGAAAGAAGTGGCCAACAGGACATGGATTAGTGACCATATGGAATCAGGGGTGTGTTCATGTGAGGACTTTAGCCACTAGGCTACAGCACAGGTCTCTACTCTACCCTTAATCCAGCTTCCTACTAATGCCTCTGAGAAGCAGCTGGTGGTGGCATAAGTACTTGAGTGTCTCCCATCCACATGTGACCTGCAAGGCATGAGGTTGGGCCTAGAGTCAGTCTGACACAGCCACAGCTGTTCAAGGCAATCAGAAGAACAAACAAAAACATTTTGCAAAACATGCTTTTTCCATCATTCTTCCTTTCAAGTGCATAGGCACAATTGAACAAAAGCAGTATAACTCTCTATCTAGGTTCAAGGTTAGCTTTCCCGCAGTGGCATGTACAAAATACCAAGAAATTTTACTGCGAATCATGTACAAGAGGAGCAAGAGGTTCGATGAAAAAAGCAGCACTGTGGTTTGATTACAAGGTTTTTTGTCTATTTATATGTGTATTTATTTTTTTATTTATTTACTTATTTACTGCTTACTCATCTGCCTATTTTAAAGATTGATTTAGAAAGGCAGATATCCAGAGAGAAGCAGATACAGAAAGATCTTCTGCTTTCTGGGTTACTCCTCAAGTGGACTCGACACGTGGAGCACAGCTGGAGCTCAGCCCATCTGAAGCCAGTATCTGGCAGTGTCTTCCTGGTCTCCCACATGGGTGCTTGCAAAGTGCCAAGGTTTTGGGCTGTGCTCCACTGCTTTCCCAGGCCACAAGAAGGGAGCTGGATGGGAAGTGGAGCAGCTAAGATAAGAACTGGCACCTATATGGGATCCCTCTGAATGTGAGGAATGAAGCCGCTAGACAACCATGTCAACCACAGGTTTAGAGTATTTAAATAATACTTGTAATGGATGTTGTAAGTTAACATGTTACATTGCTGCATGCAGTGCCAGCATTTCATATAAGGATCAGTTATACTCTGATGCTCCCTTTCTTTTTTATTTTTTTGACTGTATGTATATATTTATTTATTTATTACATTGCATTATGTGACACAGTTTTATAGGCACTGGGATGCTCCCTTTCTGACCTAGCTTCCTGCTACTGTGCTTGGAAGATAACATAAACATCTCAATTCCCAATTTCTAGGACACCTGCAGCCCTGTGTAGGATTTGAATGGAATTCCAGGCTCCCGGTTTTGGCTGGACCTTGTTTAATCGTTGTGTGGCCATAGGGGAGTGAACAAATGGAGGGAAGATCTCAGTCTTTCTGTGTTTGACTCTTGTACTGTGATTCTCACATTTAAGCCAATGATAAGTTGTTTTGAAAGATTTCAAAAGGGCCTGGCATGGTAGCATAGTGGCTAATGTCTTTCTCTTGAATGAGCCAGGATCCTACATGTTGGCCGGTTCATGTCCTGGGTATTTCACTTTTCATCATGTTCCCTGCCTGTGACCTGGGAAAGCAATAGAGGACAGCCCAAAGTCTTGGGACTCTGCATCTCCATGGGAGACCCTGAAGAGGCTCCTGACTCCTGGCTTCAGATCATTTCAGGTCTGCCCATTGTGGCCAATTAGGAGTGAAGCAGTTAATAAAAGCTCTTTCTCTCTGTCTCTGCTTCTTTGAATAAATCTGAATTTCTAATGTAAATGAATAGATAAAAAGTTTAAATGCAATTATGAGTTTGAAAGGTGGTAACTGTGCTGTATACTGTGTAGATTGGAACTGTTTAATGGTTTCAGATGGCTCACTGTTAGTTTGAAGGGATGACTCTGATATTAAAAAAAAATCTAGTGAGTTTCGATCGGCATGTACTCAAATTGTCAAGTACATGATAAGAGTATTTGTCAACACAGAAGCTGATATTGCCCATGTAGTGAGCTTGGGGTGACATTTGCAAGATTAAAAATAAAATTTATATTGTACTTATAAGATTAAAACATGTTATGTGAATATCATCAAAGCCTCTGAAGCACACAAATCATGAGGATCATTAATGGGATGCATATCACTGAGTTCATTTTTCTTTTGCCTAGTGTGTCCTACTTATGTGGCAAGTAGAGACATGCAAATTCAGAGTATGCAAGCACTCATGAGAGTGGAAAGGATAAACAGAACTTGCATTCACCAGGTCACTCCCACCATGACCCCAGGGTCTCTATTCCAGGATCCGACATGTCTTCCATGTAGGTATCAGGGCCTAATTCCTGGCATCATTCCCTGCCATGTCAGGTGTATTTTATACACTGACCAGAAGCAAATGGCGGGTGCAGAATCCGGTGCTCTGCTACCTGGATGACAGCAGTACCAGTAGTGGCTCAAGCTGTCGTGTCTCAATGACAACCCTCATTCAAAAACTAGTTTTAAAGAAAAGGAAAAAAAAATGTTCTTATGAAGATTCTCAAATGGTGCCAGAGAGACAGCAAATGGAGACATATTTGAAGAAAAATCAAGATTTGATCCTGGCAGGGAGACTCCATGTTATTTGAATCTAGACCTGGTTCCTCCCTCCCCCATGAGGACCAGGTCAAGTGGGAACTGCTCTCCAGGCAATTGCAACTGAGAACACAGTCCTCCCCCTCGTGCTGAGTTCCAGCAGAAGATGACATCAGCACTTTTTCTGTCCTCAGTTACCTGTTGTCATCACCATGCTCTGCTGAGTGGTGTGAGAGGAATGGGCCCAGGGCCCGCAAGGGTGATGAAGCTCTTATTGAGCATGAGGACACCTGGCTCCCATCTTCACCATATTTTTATTTGAAAGACAGCATTGTAGAAAAAGAAATAGAGACGGAGAGGGATCTTCTTTCTGATGGCTCATATTGCTCATTAGTTGAAGGTGGGCTGGTCCTAGTTAGGAGCTTGGGGTTTCTCCTACCCTCTGACATGAGTAGAGGGGCCCTGGGACATAGACCATGCTTTGCTGCTTTCCTAGCCATGAGCGGGGTTCTGGAGTGTAAGTGTAGCAGCCAAAACCAAAGCAGCACCATATGGGATGCCAGCATTGCAGGTTGATTCTTACCATAGGATTCATGTCCCATCTTTTTGTATTTTCTTATTAAGATTTATTTTTAGTCCAAAGTTAGATATACAGAGAGGAGGAAAGACAGAGAGAAAGATCTTCTTTCCGATGACTTACTCTCCCTGTGACTGCACCAACTGGTGTTGCACCAGGTCTCCCACATGGGTGTAGGGTCCCACGGCTGGGCCATTCTTGACTGTTTTCCCAGGCCACATGCAGGGAGCTGGATGGGAAGTGGAGCTGCTGTGATTAGAACCAGTGCCCATATGGATCGTTGTGCATTTAAGGCAAACACTTTATCCTCTAAGCTTTGGCGTCTTGCCCCAGAAAGAATACATTTCAAGCTATATTGCTGTCATGTATATGGATATCTATGGGCTGGGGCCACTGAAATGGCAGAGTCGCTTGTCATTGTGTGTTATATCTATGTTTCATATATTGTGTGGACAAAATTGCTCTGATGGAAAGATGCTTGCCTTCTACAGATGTTAGCATGAACCTCAAGTGTGTTCCAATGGAAGTCGTTACGTGGAGTCCTATGCAGCTCATTGTAGAAATAGAGAAATGCTTTATACCTCCCAATCCTTTCTGTGTAGTGGACATCTTAGTGACAATATGATATTTTCTATGATATTTTGTTTTTCTCTTAAAGATTTATTTTTATTATTTTTCTATTGGAAAGGCGGATATACAGAGAGGAGAGAGAGAGAGGAAGATCTTCCGTCCGATGATTCACTCCCCAAGTGAGCGCAACGGGCCGATACTATGCCGATCCGAAGCCAGGAGCCTCTTCCGGGTCTCCCACGCGGGTGCAGGGTCCCAAAGCCTTGGGCCGCCCTCGAATGCCTTCCCGGTCCACGGGCAGGGAGCTGGAAGGGAAGCGGGGCTGCCGGGATTAGAACTGGCGCCCATATGGGATCCTGGGCGTGCAAGGCGAGGACCTTTAACCTCTTGCGCCACCACGCCGGGCCCTATGATATTTTGTAATTTGTGCAATAGTAAGAGTTGTTGTGGAAAAATGGTTGCTGTTTGGCATTCACATTATTGATTGATTGATTGATTCATTTTTCATTGGAAAGTCAGATTTATAGAGAGGAGAGACAGAACAAAAGCTCTTCTTTCACCAAGCTCACCCTCCAAGTAGCCCCAACATCCAGAAGATGGCTAATCCATGGCAGGAACAAGGAGCTTCTTCCAAGTCTCCCATGTGGATGCAGGGTCCCAAAGTATTTTGCTATCTTTGACTGCTTTCCCAGAACACACGCAGAGTGCTGGAATAAAAATGTAGCAGTCAGGATATGAATCAGCACCCATCTGGGGTCTTGGCACATGCAAGGTGAGGACTTTAGCACTAGGTTATGGTGCTGGGCCTAGTCACATTTTAAAATAACTAATAATTGTTTCCTTGAGTTTGTTTTAGTTTAATCAGTGCCAGTTATTGAAATTGCTGATATTGCTTCAAGAAAGACTTCCTGGTCCTTGTAAAGCACTACTCTTGCCCAGGGAAGCTGATTGCTTCCGTTTCTCCAGCCATTGTGTCTGCTTCCTGCCTTCACATTACTTAGCACCGTAGGAATCACCAAGGAGACTGGGAACAAGCAAAAAAAACTCATGACTCCCTCTGCCCACCTTCTCTTGCAGGTGTAGCCCTGCGGCGTGCTTCATGCTTCCAAGGCTGCAGAACACACGCACACCTTCAGTAAGTTGTTTGTTTACTTCTCACCTTGTTTTACATTTCATTTTAGGAACTGTATGATGGTTTTAAACTAAAATGAAAAGGCAAGTATAAGAAAGAAGGCAGAATTGTCGTAACCAAGACATTGGAGGTGTCAAACTTGTTGAAACTTTCCCATGAGATTTTCTGATGCCATAGCCAAGACATGTTTATTATTACATGATTCAAATGGAAACCAAGAATTTGTTAATGACTGTGGGATATCAAGTTTGAAATGGTGTTTATTGATCATCCTATTTATTTAAAGACTGACTTGCAGCAAGAGAAGGAGAGACAGAGCCAGACATGTCTGCTCTCTGCGGAGTGATTTTCCCATGGTCACAATGGTCAGGCTGGACCATGTCACAGAAGAACCAGGAGGTCCATCTGAGTCTCCCAGATGAGTCTCCCACCCAAGTGCTTGAGTCATCTCCCACTGTTTCCAATTCACATTGACTTAGAGCTGGATTGGAAGTGACGTAGATGGTAGCTTAGGCTGCTATGCCACAATGCCATTCACTACTGAACGGTGATTTTGCTATTGCAAGGCTTCTTTTTGTTTGTTTTGTCTTTAAGATTTTTTTAATTTGAAATGCAGATCTGCACAGAAAGAAAGAAATGGAGAGACATCTCCCATGTGCTGGTTTACTTCTCAAATAACCAGAATGTGCAGAGGTGAGCAAGTCTGAAGCCATGAGCCAGGTGTATTGTCCAGGCCTCCTACTTGATTACAGGAACCCAAGTACTTCAGCCATCCTCCACTTGCTTTCCAGGCCTGTTTTCAGAGAGTGGGGTCAGAAGTGGAGCATCCAGGATGTGAATGCCAGTGAGATGCCAGTCTCTTTATTGGCTAAGCCATAAGACTGGGTCCCTGTTCATTCTGTTTGGTTTTCATTTCAAATGCAAAGTTTTTCCACTTGGCTGCAATGGCAAGAGCTAAGCCAATCCAAAGCCAGGAGCCTCTATTGGATGTGGCACACAGGTGCAGGTGCTCAAGTGATATCCTTTACTGGTTCCAAAGTTTGTGAGATGGTTAACACTATAGGCAGTCCTTGAGTACCATTTGTAATATTAGCTTCATCATTTTACACTTCAATCAGCATACCTGATTTCCATTTCTCTGTGAACACTTTTGAATGAAGGTCATTGCAATGGGTATGAAGTGGTATCTCATTGTGGTTGCCATTTTCACTCACCTAATGATGAATCATGCTAAGAATCTTCTTGTGCTAATTAGGGTTTTGTTGATCTTTGTAGAAATATCTGTTTAGTTCTTTGCCCATTTTGGAATCTGTTTTTATTGCTTTTGAGCCTGTTCAGTGGTTTCCAGCCAGATGGCCCCAAGAGGGTGCCACCTGAGGGGGTGAGGCGTCAGTGTTCTCCAGCTACAAGAACCAGTGTGGACAGTTTGAGGGCATGTCCATTTATTGTGAAGTGAGCACAACTGCTATGGACTCGGAAAGAAGATGGCAACAGAGCAGTGCCTGACAGGCCTGCCACCCAATAGTGACACTGTAATTGACTATAAGACATGTGTATCCCTTTAAACCCTCCAGTCTTGTCACAGGTCATATTCTGCACACCAGTGCATGCCATGCCTGAGGTTACGGGTAGGTGGGCTGTTAGTCATGCCCAGCAGGTGGTATTTAAGTTCACAGTCATACTTCTAGTATAATACAAAATTTTTTGCTTTGCAACTGATGCACAAACTAAAAATTGAGATTGTCCTGTAACTCTACCACTCAGTGACACTTAATGATTTTTTTCAATGTCACAACAATGTTTAATGTTGGGAAAGCAATTCCTAAAACCAGCCCACACTGAATGTGCTGTGATGTGCGAATAGGAGTGAAATCTTGGTAACTACAAATTGGCTGCTAATGCTATTTTTTTTTTCATTTTTAAATTATATTTTTGACAATCTTTACATAGTAAATTAGGGTAAAAAAGTTTAACTGCTACAGGAAAATGAGTTAAACCATTATTTGCGTATTGTTTCCTTCTTATCTGAGGTAAAGGGGAATTTTAACAGAGAAGCCTCACCCAATCTCTGACCCACCCCAGGTCCCTTACGTGGGGCATGCTCTGATTAGCCTAGTTGGAAGGACCCATAATAATCCCCACCAGGCCCACCCCCTACCCTGGTTTGCCAGTCTGTGTAGCAGACTAGCCCAGTATTTCCCCCATCCCATTCAGGTCTCACACATGTCAATGGGTATTGAAGTCTAGTTCCATCTAACTAGCTCCACTATCCAGTCCTCTCGGATGTTGTTGGGTGTCTCTCTGTCAAGCCACCCCAGCCCCTGCCCTGGTTTTTGTTCCCTCCAGTGGGAGTGGTAACCCAACCCAGAGGAACCCACTGTTTCCCTCCCAGGCCGCTCCCACACCTGGATTATGCACTCTCCAGGTAGTTCTGTGGTTTAACTTGACAGAATTAGCCCCCAGTGCCAGCTTCTGACATCTGATGCTGCGGCTAAGCTCAAATAACCCTCACACACTCTAATTATTATTTTTTTTTTTTGGCACCATGAGGAACCATCAGCCCAGCCTGGCTTTTCCCTAATCTTGTCCACAGGAGGCCCACAGGTGTTGTAGTCCTGCTTAGTCTGGTCTGCACCCATCCCAGCTCACGCTCTCCATTGGGAGTAGTTGACAAGCAGTGGAACCCCACCATATTCCCTCTGTTGGCTCCACCCTCTCCCTTCCTGGTTCTCATGCATGGTCTGCTCCTGACCCATTGCAAATATATGCCAGTGGGAAACTTTCCATGGCCTGTTCTGGGCTGTTTCCTAGCGTGCGTCTTGCGCTTACCTGCCGGGTCTATGTCCTGCCAGAGGAATTGCCCAGGCCCCTCCATCAGAACCTCTCCCAATGCCAGATTTTGTGCATACCAGGGGGTCCAAGAGCCAGACCTACTCAGTTCACTTCCTGTCCTAGCAGGAACAGTGGCTTTTCCTGACTGGCCTTCAACCCAATCTGGTTCTTACTGTTGGATGTTTCAGCCCAGCCATGGCTCGTCATACCCACATATAGCTCACACATGGCTCAGTAGGGGTTGAGACCTAGCCACATGTTCACCAGCGAGAGCTGTGATTCACAAGGGGAGTATTCCAATTTCCTCCACTTGACCCACTCCCAGACCCAATTCTCATACATTCCATTGGGTTTTAGGTCAGTACCAGGCTTAAGCCTTGCCTTCCGTTTAGGCTTGTATGAGCAGGTGAATGTTGTATCCTTGTCCACCCCACACCGTATTCAGGATGCACATTTGGGTGCTGCTGCTTTGACCAGTCCAGACTGCTGTCGGTTCATTAACCTGTGATTGTTGGCAGGTTCCTTGGTCACACCTAGTTTAGTCCATCACCCCTTCAACTTTTGAGCTCATTAGTGGAGCTAGAATTTCCACGGGGTTTGGCCCTCATATCCCCCACAGAATCTACCCCCTGATAGGGTTCTCTCTTGTGCTGCTTAATTCCATGGCCCTGCCTAATGTGACCCATCATCATGTCAGGTAATGGAATATGATCCTGCTAGACAAGTCCTGAGCCTTAGCTTTTGCATGGAGTAGTGTTTGGTATATCAGTCTTATCTATAAACATCATCTGGTCCCTCTCCTCCAACCTACTAGGTCTCATTACCCTTGCTAACCTTCAAAGGAAAAGTTTCTCTGTCGTTGGGATTGTTTAGGATTGATTAACATCCCAGAAGTACAGTAGATTTGGCATGGAGATACCTAAGCAGCAATTCAGAACCCAGAACCTCAAAACAGGCAGCCTATCCCATCCACTGAACCCCTTCCCAAATCCTATCCACTGTGCCATGATGGCGGCGGGTTGGGCCTGGGCCCGGACAGCCCTCCAAACGTCCCCCTTTGCTTACTCACCGTGAACGGAGCAGTCTCTGGAGTTCAGGAAGGCACAGGGACAGGTCACTGCGTGGACGTGGTGGCTGGAATTGGTGTCGAGCATGGAGACGATACCAGCCTGGCACCCACCATGACCTCCGGGCCTTCATCTCCAGAGACCACAAAGATCCTGCAGGGCTCAAAGCTGGTGCTACCCTCCCCACTGCTTCACCACACAAGATGGATGGAGCCCGGAGCACATTACCATTTCTCTGCTTCTGGCTGGTGCAAATAGTTCAGTGAGATTGGCAGGTCTCAGACTGCATTCGCCTCCTGAGCTCCCTGTGCGAACCCAAGTTCCCACCTGGTTGACAGAAGAGCCAAGGAGAGTCTGCTGCTGGATCCGGATCACTGTAGTCTGGATTGCTGCTTGCCAGCCACTGGTGGGTTTTCCTGTTCACTGCAACACTGCTTTGCCATCACCAGCACATTCTTGTGTCCAGGGTGTCTTAGGGATGCACCCTTCCTGCTGTCTGACCCCTAATTTTCCCCAGTACTCTGCTCCCTGTGCTTCACCCTATCCAAAGATTCTCCATCAGCCCAGATGTTTCTGTACCCTATGCTGTGCCTTAAATTTATTTTTTAAATAATTTCTACTTTAATTCCATGTGATCAGAGAAACTACCTAATGATTTTCATATTTTGGCTTTTACACCTTGGACTTTCAATGTGTCTTGAATTTTTTTAAGGATTATACAAGAAGAAATAGAAACTCTGGACACAAAGATCATATCCAATTTTCCCTAAGCCTTGAAGCATACCATCTTTATCATCTATGTTAGTATAATCAAAACTAAAAGGTAAAACAAAAAAAATTCATATGAAAAGATTTTTCTTTATTGGAAAGGCAGATATATGAAGATAAAGATTCTCCCTAAGCTAGTTTACTCTCAAAGTAGCCACAATGGCTGGAACTGAACCAATCACAAGCTGGTAGTTAGGAGCATCTTCTGAGTCTCCCGTACAGGTGCAGGGTCCAAAGGTTTTGGGCTCTCCCAGCAGTTTCAAAGGTTCTCCATCAGAACCTCTTCCATTCCCAGATCTTGCACACACTGATGTGTCCACAGGCCAGCCCACCTTATTCCACCTCCTGTCCTAGCAGGAACAGTGGCCTTTCCTGACTGGCTTTTAACCCATTCTAGTTCTTCCTGTTGGATGTGTCAGACCAGCCAATCCTGGTACACACCCAGACACAGCTCACACATGGCTCAGTAGGGGCAGAGACCTAACCTAGCTTGTCTTTCACCTGCCGTGGTCCTCCAGAGCTCCAGTGGGTGTGGAGTCTAGCCTAGCACAGTGGATCCAGCCCCAGTCCACACTTGCACCAATGAAAACTGCAGTCATATCCAGACCAGACACAGATCCCACCCTGGACCCCACACTCACCAGTGAGAACCTCAACTCAACCACGATGTCCCCTTAGCTTCCCAATCAGGCCTGTTTCCAGCCGTAGATTGCATACGTGCCAGTGCTTGCTCTAACCCATGTAAACATAGTCCCTTCCCTGACTTGGTCTTTGCCTTAGATTCTGTATCCTGGCCTGACTCGGCGTGCCCTGGTCTCAATTGTTCTGGCAGGTGATCGAACCTGGCTATGCTCAGTCTAGTCCCACCCCTGGCTCATGTAAACCAATACGTGTAAGAGGCTAGCTCAGCATGACCCGTGCTCCAGCCTGGTTTCTGTTGTTGTTGGTGAGCCAAGCTTTGCTTAGCCCTGCCTGGTTCACACCCTTCCATAACCAACCCACACATTGGTCATCTGTTGGATCTACTTTCCCCAGGTTTTCCAACCCCGAGTCCTGGACCATGTGATCAGCAGTGGGAGTTATGACCCAGTAGGTTAGTTTCCCAAGTTCCCCTACTTGGGCCACTCCTAGACCCAGATCTCATACATGCCAGCTGCTGTTAGGTCCTTGCCCAGCATAGTGTCCTTCCATCTTGGCTTTGTATGAGCTGGTGTACATTGCAGCTGACCCACCCCACATCCTGTTTAAGGATGCACATTTGAGTGCTGCAACTTGGATCTGGCCATCCTAATCTTGGTCCCTGTACCCAGGAGTGATGATAAGTTGCATGGTCACACCTAGCTAAGCCCATTTCTACCCCAACTCTGAAGCTGACCATTGGGACTTGTATTTCCACAGGGTTTGGCCCACACCTCCCCCCCCACCCTCCCACACACAAACACACAGAATCTACCCCCTGACCTGGTTGTCTCGCATGCTGCTTAGTATTATAGCCCTGCCTAATGTGACCCATCTTTTGTTCCGACATTGTGTTAGGTACTAGGATCTAGCCCTGCTAGACTGGACTCCAGTCCTAGCCTTCACATTGACTCTGTGGGGTTGCTATTCTTTGGTGATAACAAAACCTACATAGGACTGACAGGTAGGCTGGTGTATCAATCTCATCCATACAGATCATCCAGCAGCCGGGCCCCGAACCTCTCACCACCGAGGCCCTGAAGTCGAACTCCCAGAGGTACCTCCACCTCCAATTTCTCTGATTGTCTTTCTCTCTTTGTTTCCAGCTGGTTTTCTAGTAAATTTTTGAAAAACAAGGAGACAGAAAGCCCACAAATATGAATGAAGGTCATGTTTCATGAGGAAATATTGACTATTGAGAGTTTTTTTTTAACGATCTTATGGGCTTCTTGGGTTTCCACATTCTTAAAATCTACTGAAATCTGCAGTTGCAGGTATTCACACTCTTTACAATTATCCCACAGCACTAAATCTCAAGTGCTTTCATCACAGTGTGTCGTATCAATGGAGTCCTTTCTCACAGCAAGTTTTGTACTCTTGGAGAGATAAAATGAATAAATCTTCATAAGTTTCTATATTGTACTTAAAAATTGTTGAATATTATTAAATGAATAACAAAAACATTGACTTATTCAAATGTGAAAAGAAAATTCTGCACATTCCACAGATATTCTGCTATAGTTTTAATGTTCTGTATTTGTAAACTGGTGTGATTGACATATTTGTATTCATGATATTTAGAGCCTTTTTCTCTTGAACTATGATGATATTCTTTTCCTTTTAATCACTTAGAGATTAAGATCTTGAATGCAATGTAAGTTTAAAACATGCTATTTCAAATGTTAATTCTGTTTTTTAAAATTTTGTATATCAGCTATGTTCATTCTTTTTTCTAATAAAATGAGTAAATGGGTAACCAGAGAAAAGCCTGCTAACTTTAGATTAAAATTAAAGGGCTTCACAAACTTGTGCAAAAGCAGTGATGCTACAACATGGCCTTTGCTGTATGTGTATATGTATATGTATATATACTGTTCAACTGGTTGGTTGTGAGTGGCTGATATTAGTTATTGTTACAAAAAAATAGTTTTGTATGAGACTGAAGTTTGGTTTCGTTCTAAGCCACAGTTCACTATGAAGAAATTAAAATTTTAGTTTAATTTAAATGTAATTCCATATAAAAGCTAAATTAAAAAGTACAAATCGTTTTAATAGGTTCATACTAAAAATTAAAAAATAATGGCAAGGGATACTTATATATCTTTATTTCCAATGTAAGATTTAAGAAATATTTACACATTTATACATGTCTCTTCCTAATCCCATCTAACAGGTTATTTGTCATGTGTTTGTGTGAGTGTGTGTGTCTGCAGATTACAAAGTTAATCTTATTTAGAATTGTTATAGGAACCAATCTGATACAGAATCATAATGGAATTGTAGCTTCAGAATTGCAGAAATGATGCAGAACAACATATTATTTTTACCCTATGTTGCAATATAGATTGTAAATTTAGCTGCATCCACACAAGGTGCAAGTTAAACAAGCACAAAAAAATTGCACTCAGCTTACTATTACAGGCACTGAGTTAATAGTTTGGCTCAGTGTTAAAGAGATTGTTTAATTTTATTAAAAAGCAGAACGGCAATCATAGGGACAAACTGGGTGTGATGTCTTCCTCTTGCAAGTTTATTTAAACAATGCCCTCAAAAGTTCCTTAGATTCAAAATATTTCGAGAAAACAACCTTTAAGAGAATAATAAGGGATATTCTATTGTAGTATTGGAGTTGCACAAGTAATACAGGAGAACCTATTTTTGTTTTGTTTTTACTCTGTAGACTGTACATTAAATTGCATCCATTAAAGTTGCAAATTAAATATACATACAATTCACCGTCAGTCTTTGTATTTGATGATCCAGAACTGAGGAGACATGTACTTTATAGGTGTTGGTGTCATTTGAAGATGTGGCTGTGGACTTTACCCAGGAGGAATGGCAGCACATGGACAACACTCAGCGGACCCTGTACAGGGATGTGATGCTTGAGACTTATAACAATCTGCTGTCCTTGGGTGAGTGAAAATCTGTCATGCCCAAACAGAACACTTCTTTATGGTTGACAAGTGAAAGGAGAGTTTCTGAAGTCCCATACTAGGTAAGACTAAGTAGTGATGTCACAAAATCTACATCATTTTCCACGAACAGGGTACAGCTTGACAAAGCCTCATGTGATCTTGAACCTGGAACGAGATTTAGCACCATGGACAGTGGACAAATCTACACACCAGAGACTTCCAGGTATGTGAGCAGTTAGTGGGCATTGAAGTTGACACATAGCTCATTAAAGGTGGACTGGAACCCTTGTTTTTTGTTTTTGTTTTTGTTTGTTAAAGTGTCCTCCCAGAGGATAGCTGTTGAGACACAGGAGTTTTATAATCCTCATGTGTAGGTTTACTCTAGCAATGCCTTTCAAAATTTGTTGGCAAGTCACCCTACATTTAGCACTACTTATTGCTCTTTTCATGATCCCTAGCACTTGAATCATCATCTGCCACCTGCCAGATACATTCTCAGGAAGTTGTGCTTGAGTCAGACTACTCAAGCCAAAACAGATTGATGCTCTTATGGGATGTAAGACATCCCAAACCTTATTTTGAGTTTCTGTGCCACATTTTCACTGCCATCCTGCAGCAACTTAAAATGCACAATTCCAAGTAATTGAAATTTGCATTTTAAAAAGCCATTATGTTAATGCATTAATAAAGAAGTAATGCTCATTATTTATGCTCATAAATGTCCACATTGCACTAATATTAAAATATGCTGTATTTAGAATGGCAATAAACCTCATTGGCTGTAATTGAGCCTTGTAACAGAAAAACTTAATGAGCTCCATGGAGATGGTTACTCTTTTCCTCATTTCAGATTCCTACAGACAGAATGAACTGCTTGGAGCAAATCAGGAAAGTGAAGAAATAATCTTCAGGCAAGTTGTAATCACAAAAATTTTATAATACCCAAAAAGAGAGTTGCCCAAGATGACTTTTCTCTTAAGATATACTTATTTTCATATCAAAGTCAGACCTACAGAGAGGAGGTGACAGAGGAAGATCTTCCATGCATTGATTCACTTCCCAGGCAACCACAACGGCTAGAGCTGAAGTGAGGAGCACGGAACCCCTTCCAGGTCTCCCACACAGCTGCAGAATCCCAAGGCTTTGGGCTGTCTTGACTGCCTTCTCAGGCCACATGAAGCAAGCTTGATGAAAAGCGGGGCTGCCTGGATTAGAATCACCACCCATATGTGATCCTGGTACATTGATTCTAGGAATTTAGCCACTGGTATACCTCAGAGGGCCCTGATAAGGATGCTTAATATTAGCTATGCCCATAATTGAAACATGATATGAATGAGAAATTGTACAAAAATGAAACTTAAGAAATATAATTTGTTTCTTTATACATATATATATATTTCATTTATAGTGTTAATTTGAAAGTGACTAGATGAATGTAGAAAGCAGATGGAATGAAATTACATTACTTTGGAGAGAGCCAGGGGATGGTGTGCCTCTTGAATGGAGAGAGGTAGTGACAACAAAATTTCAAAAGTGATGCTTAACCTGTGTGTGAGACCCAGAAGAATTTCCTGGCTCCTGGCTTTGTGTCAGCTCAGATCCAGCCATTGTGTTCACTTGGGAAGTGAATCAACGGACGGAATATCTTCCTCTCTGCCTCCCCTCCTGTCTGCATATCTGACTTCCTAATAAAAAATAAATCTTAAACAAACAAAAAAAATCAAGGCCAAGAAGAATCACTCCTCAAGAGAGGATAAACCAACCTGAAACATGAGAAAGAAGCCCAGAACTTGGGTACCATGTCAGGTGCTTGGCATTCAGAATCCACCTAGGCTGTTTCAAGTCATGCAGAAAAGTGCCCCTTGCCAGGGACTGCTAATCTTCCCTAAGGAGCTGTGCAAACACAAGCAACCAGAGCCTAGACTCCAGTATGAAAACTGAGTTGGTAAGAAAAGTGCAAATAGGTAGTTGATGAGTAGTGCGTCTGAAATGCTAAGCTGCTATACTTCCTACCTCCACCCCTCTGAAAGTGTAATCTGTCTGGAGGTTTAGCTAGAGTTAGGCAATGGTTGGAGTTGGGTCTTTGTTCAGGTCTTATATTGTGACACCATAGCAAATGTTACCAGAAAATCTTCTTTCAGGATCATACTATAGAAACAGAAACAGGAAATCAGTTTTCAATAGAAGCTTTATTGCTAAGTGACATGCTAAACTTGGATGCAGGGCAGAGAAAGCACCTCCAAGAAGAGATCTTAGAAGTCTACTGGCTTTTAAAAGCAGAGAAGAAAGGCACCATAGCTCATTGGAAATCTTTTCTTCCCCCAGGATCCCTGGTGAAATGCCTCTTGAGATGAAGCATGCCTCTGATTTCCCTGAGACCAAACTCCAGAGTGGGGAAAATCTCAGTCAGCACGATAAGATGCACACTTGTCAGCAGTCTTTTGAACACAGTGGGAAAGAAGAAACTTTCAGCAGGAGGAAGATATTCCTTGTGAGTGAGAAAGTCTATACCAGCGACGCATGTAATAAGCAACCTGTCAGTGTGGGAGAGTCTGTGCAGCTTAAAGAGAAAATGTTAAATAACAATTCTGACTTTGACAATCATCCACAAACACACTCAGGAGAGAAATCCCAAGAGCATTTTCAGAGTGAGAAATCACTTATTTATAAAACAGATGTGGATGTCAATCAGATAACCCAAACAGCTAGAAGTCACTGTATATGTGGTTACTGTAAAAAGGCTTTTCACTATAAATCTTGCATTACCAGCAAACATAGAAGTGACAGAGGAGCAGATTTCTATGTGTGCAACGAATGTAAAGAAAACATTGACCAGAAGTCGGAACTCATAGGAGATCAGATCCTTGACACTGCAGAGAAGCCATATGATTGTGATGAGCATAGAAACGTCTTTCACCAGGAATTCTCTCTCATTAGGGATCAGAGAATTCACACAGAGGGGAAACCGTATGAATGTAATGAGTGCGGAGAAGCATTTAAAATAAAGTCATATCTAATTGCACATCTGAGAGTCCACACAGGGGTAAAGCCTTATGAATGTAATGAGTGTGGACAAGCTTTTAAGCATAAGTCATCCCTAATCACACATCAGATAAACCACACCGGCATAAAACCTTATGAATGTAGTGAGTGTGGAAAAGCATTTACACTGAAGTCATATCTAACTTCACATCAGAGAATACACACCAGGGAAAAACCTTATGAATGTAGTGAGTGTGGAAAAGCTTTTTCTCGGAGGTCACACCTCACTATACATCAGAGAACCCACACAGAGGCAAAACCTTATGAATGTAGTGAGTGTGGGCAAGCTTTTAAGCATAAGTCATCCCTAATCAAACATCAGATAAACCACACCGGCATAAAATCTTATGAATGCAGTGAGTGTGGAAAAGCATTTACAGTGAAGTCATATTTAACTTCACACCAGAGAGTCCACACAGGGGAAAAACCTTATGAATGTAGTGAGTGTGGAAAAGCTTTTGCTCAGAGGTCACACCTCGTTAGACATCAGAGAATCCACACAGGAATGAAGCCTTATGAATGTAGTGAGTGTGGACAGGCCTTTAGGCATAAGTCATCCCTATTTACCCATCAGGTAAACCACACTGGGGAAAAACCTTATGAATGCAATGAGTGTGGAAAAGCTTTTTCTCAGAATTCATACCTCATTAAACATCAGGGAATCCATACAATAGAAACCCCTTATGAATGTATTGAGTGTGGAAAAGCATTTAAGCAGAAATCATACCTAGTTATACATCAGAGAATCCACAACGGGAAAAGACCTTATGAATGTAGCCAGTGTGGAAAAGCATTTAAGCTGAAGTCATCCCTAATCGGACATCAGAGAATCCACACAGGGGTAAAACCGTATGAATGTAGCCAATGTGGAAAAGCATTTCATTACAAGTCAGACCTAATCATACATCAGAGAATCCACACTGGGGAAAAACCTTATGAATGCAGTGAGTGTGGAAAAGCTTTTGCTCAGAGGTCACAACTCATTAAACATCAAAGAATCCGCACCAGGGAAAAACCTTATGAATGTAATGAGTGTGGAAAAAGTTTTTCTCAGAAGTCAGACCTCATTACACATCAGAGAACCCACACAGGATAAGAACAATATGAATGTCCTGTGTGGTGAAAAAAAAAAGGGAGGTTTCCTTGCACATCAGAATTCACATGGGAGAAACATTAGGAATGTAGATAATGTGCAGAAGCCTTTTGGGAGCCGTCAATTTTCATTACTAAAGCATGTAAGCATATATTAGCGACCATAAACATACTGGCATGCTCTGTCAGCTTACAACATGAGTGAAACAAGCTTTAACAACATTGCAAACAAAGCACTAAAAGTAAAATCGAAGTGAAAAAACACTTCAGAAGTTCCAACAAGTGTTAAAAAGTATACATGAGGATTACCGTTGTGTTTCAGAACACAGCTATGCGTTGTTAAAGTAAGATGCAATTTGTGAGTGATCTACCTTTATTGTGAGGGGTAAAATGTGAATGAGTACTGCTTTCAGATTCTTATGTTGATAATAAATGTTCAGTGCATAACACTTGTTTGAAATACCATCTTTATCATTTCCAGAATGTATGTAGTATGAGTTTCTTGAATTTCAATATCCCACATTCTGTTTCAAACTAAAATCGGAAGCAAAAATATCAACTGATGCATGTTGCAATCCTAATGCTAAAGACTCAGCTATGAAGCATGAATCTTGATCAGAGTGATGAATCTTGTGACACCTGGCCAAATGTGGATCCGATTTGGCCACTGTCCCTCCTTGAATTCTCGAATGTGGGAGATTACCCCTGGATCTGTGCCCACTTAGTTCTTGTAGGAAGCCATAGGCCCATGACACACCATGTCCCTGGGGGAAACCCTAACAATAACTGTGGACCTGTGCACGACATTGCTTAGAAACCTGCACCAAGGAGAAGAATCTGATAAGTAGAAGTACAATTATCTAGAGCAAAAGAATACACAGAAGTAAAATGAATATTATTAAAGACTCCCCTGCAAAGGAGCAAAACCTGATGCCGCCCTCAGAGTTAACTGAGGAAGACAGTGAGAAAATTGGGAACTCAGAATTCAGAAAACTCATTATAAAGCTTCTGATCAACATTGAGAAGGATATACAAGAGTTCAAAAAAATTAACGACTATGTTACACAAGAAATAACAGCAATAGAGCAAATTAAGGCTGACATTTCAAAAAATAAGAATAGTAGAGCAAATGAAAAGTGCAGTGGAGAGTCCCAAATAAAATGAAGCAAGCGGAAAAAAAGAATCTCAGAATTGGAAGGTGTTTCCACATGGGACGGTCACCCCACGGCAGTGACAGAACTCACTATGTCACAGCGAGCCCAGGGCCATTGTCCTTCTGTGTGAGCAATTTTTGCATGTTCCTTTTTCCTTTTTGATATTATATACATGAGTCTCCTTTATTAGTCCTAGACTTGTTTTTTTATTTTGTGGGGGACTGGAAGGTCAGTATGTTGGTTGGTTATTTGATATTTTGTTATTGTTGTTTAGGTGTTGGGCATCTGAACTCATAACTTTTGATTTGTATATGTCTCTGACGGTGATGGGTTCTTTCTCATTGCTATAGGAATGATAGTTATAATGAAGAGTGTGCTTTAGTCAACATAACAGATAGAGTATGTGTCCTGAATCACAGTCATTCATTTCTTGTGGTTCAAATGTTTGAAAATTGAGAGCAGGATGAGAATAGGTTTGGTTTCTCCTGAGGTCACTCCCTGGCCAACTCAGCTTCTGTGGTATTTCCTCTGTCCTTGTGTATCCTTAAAGGAACTGAAATCAGTTCGAAGGGGATTCACAGTAGCTATAGTTTCTGGTAATCACCCTCTTTTTAAATTTTTTTAAATTTTATTATTATTGCAATATTAAAAACAGAGATGAGAGGAAACAGAGAAAGATCTCCCATGCACTTATTCACTCTGCAGTGGATGAAGTGGCCAGAACTGAGCTGATCCAAAGCTAGGATCCGGGAGTTTCTTCTGGATTGCTTACATAGGTGCAGGATCTCAAGTCTTTGGGCCACCCCTGACTGTTTTCCCAGGCCACTGACAGGGAGCAGGATGGGAAGTGGAGCATCCGGGAAAAGAACTGGCACACGTAGGGCATCCCAGCACATGCAAGGTGAGGACTAAAGTACTAGGCCACCGTGGTAGGCCCAGTATTTACCTCCTTAAAAGTCCTGTTTCTTGAGTGTAGTGTGATAATCTAGTAGCTAAGGTCCTCATTTATACCCACTGGAATCACATATTGCTGCTGGTTCTAATCCCGACTGCCCCACTTCCCATTCAGCTCTCTGCTTGTGGTTTGGGAAAGCAGTTGAGGACAGGACTTGGGACCCTGGACTTGTGGGAGACCCAGAAGAGAGTCCAGGCTCCTTGCTTTAGATTAGCTCTGATCTGGCCATTGTGGTCGTTTGGGGAGTGAATCAATGGACAGAAGATCTTCCTCTCTTATGTCTGACTTTATAATAGAAAAGTAAAGTATTTCTTGAAGATAAAAATTGTACTGTTTTGTCCTCAGCATGGCGGATTAGCGACTAAGGTTCTTGCCTTGAAGGTGCCAGGATCCTATATGGACGCCGGTTTGAATCTTGCTGGGCATACTTCCCATCCAGCTCCCTGCTTGTGGCTTGGGAAAGCAGTCAAGAATGGCCCAATGCCTTGGGCCATGCACCCAAGAGGCAGCCATGTGTGCTAATGAACAATTATAATTTTCAAAATATACACTCTGCAATTCGAAAAATTAAGCAATGCAAAACCCAGACATAACAATTCTACCCAGCAGTCAGCATGAGGGATGTCTTCCTATGTCTGTACCTACTTTAAATCACAGTTACTGGAAAGTAGTACTTGGGACTAAATCAAACATGGAATGATGCGTTTCCAAAAGCCTAAGCCTAACACCATGGTCGTACAAAAAATAAATCAGTGCAGGTTTTCTAGTTTTGATAAGCAATTTTAATACTGAAAATGTCAAGTGTGTCATAGGTGTATTTGTCAACACAGAAGCTGATATTGCCCATGTAGTGAGCTTGGGGTGACATTTGCAAGCTTAAAAAGAAAATTTATATTGTACTTATAAAATTAAATTTTTTATATTAATATAATCAAACCTTCCGAGGCACACAAATAATGAAGGTCATCAATGGGATGCATATCACTGAGTTCATTTTTTTACCTAGTGTGTCCTACTTGTGTGGCAAGTAGAGACATGCAGATTCAGAGCATGCAAGCACTCATGAGAGTGGAAAGGACAAATAGAACTTGCATTCACCAGGTCACTCCCACCATGAGCCTGGGGTTCTCCATTCCAAGCTTGGCCAGGTCCAAATCAGGAACAAAAAATCACATTGTGATCTCCCATGTAGGTATCAGGGCCCAATTCCTGGCATCATTCACTGCCATGTCAGGTGTATTTTATACACTGACCAGAAGCAGAAAGGCTGGTACAGAATCTGGAGTTCTGATAACTGAATGCCTACATGATCAGTAGGGGCTCAGCCATTGAAGTGTCTCAATAACAACCCTCATTCAGAAGGTTTTTAAAAGAAAGCAAAAAAAAAATTCTTACGAAGTTTCTCAAATGGTGCTAGAGAGACAGCAAATGGAGACATATTTGACGAAAATTCAAGGTTTGATTATGGCAGGGAGAGTCAGTGTTATTTGAACTTCGAACTGGTTCTTCCTTACCCCATCATGACCAGGTCAAGGAAGAACTGTTCTCCAGGCAATTGCAACTGAGCATGCAGACCTATTGAATGTACAGTATACTCTGCACGAATGTACAGTATACTCTGCACAGCCACAAGCAATGGCATGGCTCTTAGTGTGTTTTCCCTAGTAGAATACAGTGCCATGAAATAGTCTTGTCAAATTGTAAGAAATGTCAATTCAATGGATTCTTCTTAAGTACCTGAAAGTTGTTATCCACTGACAGAAATGGATGCAAATAGATTTATTTTTATCATTTTTTTTCTTTAATTGGGAGCATGTTTCTGTGGCAATATTTAAGTCTGGCTTTCTCTTTCATGAATCAGGTTGTTCTGTCTTTCAATTTGATATCTGCTTGAGAAAGCTGATACTCATTTCATGTTCTGAAAGATAGCAATATCCTTCCAGGACATGCATTGCTAGGATCTTCTCGTTTGATTTCATTTTGATTCTCTTTAGAGTCACTTAGCGAGACTATTGCCATTGCAAAATCCTGCTAATGTATCCTGGAGCAGCTATGGAAATTTCATTTGTCTTAGTGAAATGGGGACTGAAGAGATCAGTTTTGCACAGAATTGTGGGTGTCCCATGTATGAAGTGAGCCATCTGGTCAGTGAAGACAAACTGTGGAAGATACAGATATGTCAGCAGCTTTTGTTTACCTTGGATCCACTGAGTAGGATCCTACAACATACAACACAAGTAACACAACATTATTGAAAATGGTTCCACTGGGATTGGATGTAAAGAAGGTTGCATGTTATCCTGAGCAGGCTCCAGGTTTACAATGAAAATGTGCTCATGGAAACAACCAACAAACAGAAAATACAAGGTCTAAGCATCTATGTAAAGCATAAATACATAAATAAACACTGCGAAGAATACCCTACATAATCCAAACTCTAAATTACCCAATTCTCATGGTGACTGGATCCATATTTATGGATAGAGGAAGAATAACAATTCACACAATGATACAAAGGCACCAAGATCAAACACAAAATGGTATTCCATCACAAAAGGAGAAGATGCAGGGGGTGAGGCTAGAAGGGTGACTGCCTTAAAAAGAAATGCATCAAAAGGACGATGTGTGTATTTTAGATCTGTAAGCATTTTGCACAACATACTTATAAATAGCACCCATGACATTAACATAACACATGGTAGAGAGTGTGTGGAGAAGTTCCAAAAGAAGGGTATGGGTGAATGCTTGTGGAAGCTTAACACGCATAGGATTGTAACTCAGCTTCCACAGGTTGTGTCAAGCTCCAGACACAGTAGATAGTAGGCCCATGGACAGATGACCTGGACCAGCAAGAAGGTGACTACAGATAAACTTTGGAGGGCTATGACCAAGTGA